AGCTGAATAGCTAGCTATAAATACTCTAATATGCAAACTATGCTATAATTATTTAGCTATGATACTTTAGCTGAATAGCTAGCACTAACTAAGCTATAATTATTTAGCTATGATACTTTAGCTGAATAGCTAGCACTAACTAAGCTATAATTTAGCTATGATACTTTAGCTGAATAGCTAGCTATAAGCTAATGATGCTTTTGCGATCCACCATTAAAGAAGAGACACCGCGGGCCCGTTCGTGACGTCATCAACACGCGCCGTTTTTACCTTAAACTACAGCGGAAAACAAAAACCTCAAAACGAAATAATTAAATCCAGAAACCCGCTGAAACTGGCGCTTTTTTTGGGACCTTTTTCTGTATTTCTTGTCAGCGGGAGCTGTTTGTGTGTCGGAGCGGAGCTGTGAGGACGGAGAGGTGAAAAAAGCTGTGAATTAATAATTTTTTTTGTTGAAGAAGTGAGGCTGACCGTCAGAATGGAGTGCAGCTCCGCGGACTCGGACACTGCTCATCAGTCTGCAGGTAAACCTGGTCCTCTCCTCTGCTTTTAGCTCGTAATATTTACCCCCCAGGGGAAGTTAGGCCCACAGAAAGACAAAAATAAATAAATAAAAACCTTAGACTCGGTCAGGTGCAGTCCAAGCACCGTTTTGGACCCTCCTTTCAAACGAGCCAGACCTGATTGTTCTCTTATGTTTTTTAAACAAATGTTTAAGTTTTTCACAGCTTTTTTGTTGATAATTTGACAGTTTTTAATTTAGTCTTCAGTCTAAATTAACTCTAATAATAATCACAATCAGTTTTATCTAATTTGATGAAAAGCACTGTGAGAATTCAGGAGATAAAAATAGTTTTTATTTCCAACCCCCCAGGGAAGGACAACTCCTGTTCTGATGATGAGGACTTTGTCCCGCTGTCGAAGCTCCTGGAGAAGAAGTCGTGTGACAACGGCCACGACCTGAACTCCAAACCAGACAAAGGTGGTGCAGAAACTCAAACTTTGTTTCAAGTCTGGCCTTTTTTTTAACTTCCTGTGTGAATCTTTGCTTCCAGAGGATTCTTCAGACGACGAGCCGCTGATGAAGAAGAAGAAAGAAGCTCCTCCCAAACCAGGTGGCCTCTCCACGCCGTCTCCCTCCTCCTCTTTATCTCCTGTTTTTAGTTTTAATTATAAAAATCTTCTCTCTTCAGAGTCAAACACTGACGGAGACTCTGACGACGAGCCTCTGAGCAAAATCGCCAAAACCTCGTCCAAACCCAGAGGGAGGCCGAGAGGGACGCCCAAAAAACCTGCCAACAGGAAGAGGAAAGGTGAGGTGGCGTCTCCTGATGACATCATCAAGAAGGTTTGGGTTTTAAAATCCAGTTTTTGATTTATTTGCTAAATTCACCTTACTTGATCCGGTGTAAACTTGAAATTTGATCAATATCTGCGTCTTTTCCACCTGCCTCAGTTATTAATACATCACTTCCTATTAAATTATCTTCTGTTACTTCAGATCCCACAGTATTTGGTC